GCTCCCCCCCCCACATCCCTAATTGCTTTTTGATTTGCTTCCTAGCCAGGTGCTCTGCCTGCCTTGGGACCTGTTGAGAATCAGTGGCCTTCCCTTGGGGTCCTCCGTCTAGTTTCTCAACCCGTTTTTAAAAGGCTGGCTCTGGGCTCTTGCTTCTTCTTCCTTGCATGCTCTATGGATGTAGATAGCTAGATACGAGTCTCCCTCCTCCCCCCTCCCTCCCATTTTTTTTTCTCCGGGTTGCCATCAGACATGAAGCGTCCTTGTGCCAACTTCTTCCGAGCTAAACGAAAAAGTGAATTTAATTGCAAAACATTGATTAAAAAACCCTGAAACATTTTGGAATGTCCCCCCCCCCCTCCTTCCCGGTGCTTAGCTTGCAACCAGGTCATCGTTACTGCAAACCAGAGAAGGATCAATATGCATAGCCGTGTTCCTATCCCCGACTATAATGCTTTAAAAATACAGCATGTTTCAAGAGCTGGCCAGTGTTTGACAGATGCCCAGGCTAGGCAGATACTATGGGGATGAGAACCAAGTAAGTACCGAGAGAGAGATGGATAGCTATGTGGGCTAAAGCAACCATTGTAGTCATCTCAGAGGGCTAGATTCTGCTCCCTTTCCTCCTGGTAAGTAATGCCTTACTGGATAAAAAGGCCCACTTGATTTCAGTGGGCAAAAAGGCATTGATCAATGTCAGGATGGCAGAATATGGCCTTGAGTTAGGACATTTTAGAACCGCCAATGAGGTTGCAAAACAGCCTCTTTAAGTGTTGTTTTCATTCTGGGATTCGCATGTTGTCATAGGTCTTCAAGGAAATCATGGTGCGTTTGCAAGACAGGTGCTTTTTGTTGTGGTGGTGGTTCTGAGGCAGTGTGGTGTTGTTTTGATGTGATTCTTGATTGCTGCCTGTTGGAGTAATTGTGTTGCAATTGCTCAGAGGTAGAATCAATTTCCCCAAATTGAGATTTTAATGGGAGCGTGCAGGCTGATGCTATGTCATGTGGCTTAAGGCAGCGCTGGATTGCATTTATTTTATAAATTGGCTATTTTGGCAAACTGTTTAGGGATAACAGCGCCACCTACTGGAAAGAAACGAGCTTCGGGCTCTATTTAACCCTGGGAGAGCGCACATGTGCTGATCCCTGCTAGAAAAATACAGTCTCAATCCAATTTCATTCTCTGTTAGGATGGGGAGTATAACGGGTGTGGGAAATTCAGAAGGATAGGTTAATTGGGATTTTTACTAGACTCGTTTTTTGTAATGATTTATCTTCCCCGAAGGTATCCAGGCCATTTAAAAAAATACCTAGTGACATTTACTAGACTGTCCTTGGCCCTTTCCTAAGAAAGTAGAGATGGCATGGTGGGGTGGGTCATATTTCTAGGCATCATCTTCAGGAATCCACACTAAAAGAACCAAGTGGGGAGGGTACGCTGTTTCCACGAGAAATCAGAGGACACTTTAAAGAGGATCTCCTGCAGGCTCCTCCTTGCTCTGGGACACTCTTAAACTCCTGTGTTTGCCAGCCACAGTATATTGGTGATCTAGCCTTCCAAATACTTATTTCCATCCAGCTGTTCCACAGAAAGTCCTGTTACCTTTTAATGACACATCTAGGAGATAAACTTAGACATCCTGTTTGGATGTGGAGAGGAGGGTTAGAAAAATATATTTGCAATATCTAGAGACAAAAGTAGATTTTAGAATATTGCCCAGTTATACTAAATTGATTCTCTCCGTTGTGACAGAAAATCAAAAGGGATTGAAAATCGGGTCTATTTATTTTCTGGCAGTCAGAAGTTAACCAGATTTGCTACTCAGCCCACACGTTTCACCAACAGTCATGAAACGTTCTTCTAGACATGACCAGCTATTCGCTCAATTGTTTATTAAAGGTTTGCTCAGTTGTGAAGTAGATGCAATAGGAATGTTGTCTGGGATTTACTCAGAGTAGAAGATGGGCATAAAGGCCCAGCTCCCTGCAGAGAACTAAATATACAGAAGAATTCCAGCCAACTTTTTAAACACTTCAGAACAAGGAAAGATTATATTATGCAATATGTGAGATTCAAGCCTAGCCCCACAATATTGTGCAAACAAATTGGGGGGAAGGGAGTTGAATGTCCCCTGTCAAATAAAGGGGTAAGGTAACATTTGATTGGACCAACTCGGTGAAAGAGACAAACTGCTGAATTTACACAGGACTTGTAAACTTCAAAGCTCATCTCTTTCACCAACAGAAGTTAGTCCAATAAAAGATATATCTCGCCCACCTTGTCTCTCTAAAACAGGGAGACCAACACAGCTATAACTACACTGCAAACAACCTGTCAAACATGTTGACATGATAAGCTTTATTCTATTGAGAGTATCCAGGCTCATTTGCTTTCTTTTGTGGGTGGGAATGAAGGATTTTTTCACACATTCCTCCTCCCTGTCTAGCTTGATCACTACTGCATTAGGAACTGACAGCCCATTATACTGGTACAAGTTGTTCTACATGATCATATCATGTAGCTGTCCCTACATAAATATCTTTACTCTCCTCATGAGGTTTTGAAAAAGCTTAATTGATTTGTAGAGAGTTTTGAGTGTATTGGATGGAATGTGCTGTATAAAAGCTAAAATATTTGGCATTACACAATCTTAATAACCTAAAACTGGTATCTAACCATGTCCCTTTAAATAGCCAGGATACTGAGTCCACAGTCCCCATAAGCAGATGTATATTTAGATTGCCCAAGCTCCAAAAACTCAGCTGTTGTAATGAGGAATCCTCTGTGCCAAGCAATAATCAGTCTGCACTCTTCTCTTTAAAACATCTTTCAGATACCATCTCCCCGACCTACCCCATTAAGGTATTGTAGCTACTATGTCCAGTGCACTAATGAAGCCTGCAATAGAATACTTTGCCTATCAGTTGCTGTGCACAGATTTCTCAGGGCAGAAAAACATGTTAGCAGAGCAGCATTGTGAGATACTTACCTGGAAGCAAAAAGAATTCAGGGCAACACATATACAAAGCTGCTACCTAACATCTGTGCATCTACACAGAAGGGCTTAACTCAAAATAAGCTATGCAATTGTGCAATTGCATAGCTTATTTCAGAATAGCTTATTTTGAGATTTTGGTGCTGTCTACACAGCACTTATTTCGAAATAGAGCACTCTTCCTCCGACTTAGAATGAGGGTTACACAAGTCGGAGTAAGGAGGCCTCCAGCTTGACAGTATTTTGATATTATGTCGAAATTACTGCCAGCTGTGTAGATGCAGACTATGTTATTTCGAAATAATGTTGCTGTGCAGCCTTTGAGAAAGACTAGTGTAGTGAGTGGTAATTAAATGTAGGGTAAAGACAGCTCTTGTTTAAAAATACTGCAATGTTCTCTCCATCTAAGCACCATCTCACAAACTCTAAGGTTTGGATCCCTGTGGCAGAAGGATGCAGAGTAAATTGCTGGGCTTTAAAAAAAGGAGGGGAGGAATCTTCCAATTTGCATGTTCATTTTAAATTTTAAAATTACTTGTCATTACTTCCCAGAGCTTAATTGATCCTTTACATAACATAAGGACCATAATACTGAGTCAGACCAAAGATCCATCTAGCTCAGCAGCCTGTCTTTCGACATTGACCAATGCTAGGTACCCGCAGAAGGAATGAACAGAACAGGCAATCATCAAATTATCCCACCCTGTTTGCCCATTCCCAGCTTCTGACAAACAGAGGCTAGGTGCACCATTCCTACACATCCTGGCTAATAGTCATTAATGGACCTATTAATTAAATGGATTTATCTAGCTCTTTTTTGAACCCTGTTAAAGTCCTGGTCTTCATGACATCCTCTGGCAAGGAGTTCCACCAGTTGACTGTGTATTGCGTGAAAGAGTTGCGTCATGCCAAAGAGTCAATGTTCTCCCTCTCCCTCTTTTGGGATGGATCAGAATTCTGTTAAACCAAATTCCAATACATGTTGTAAGAGTGACCAGACATCCCAATATTAGGGGCTTTGTCTTATCTCTGCAGAGCATGAGTGAAACACACTGGCCAGCCTGAACACATGTAATCCTGAGAACCTCATGCCTCCATGGCCACTGTTAGAATTATGTTTACAGCAATAGCACCAAGAGCCCGAGCCCCACCCCCCCAAACAGTGCCCTGTTGAGTTAGGCTCTATATGAACACATTTTAAGGCCTTGTCTATATGCCCGTGGGCTGTCAACATAAGTTACACAACTTCATCTATGTGAATTACATAGCTGAAGTTGACATACTTAGGCCTGCTTACCATGGTATCATCACCATGGTAAGTGGACAGCTGACGCTCACCCATCAACTCAGCTTACTCTTCTCATTTTAGTGGAATACCCGAGTTGATGGGAGAGTGCTTGGTCAGAGGTGATACATCGACCCTCGCTGAATCGATTGCTGCCGTCAATGCAGCAAGTTGTGAAGACATGCCCTAAAAGTCAGCCCTGCCTCAAAGGCTACGTCTACACTGGCCCCTTTTCCGAAAGGGGCATGCTAATTTGACAGGTCGTAATAGGGAAATCCGCAGGGGATTTAAATATCCCCCGCGGCATTTAAATAAAAATGTCCGCCGCTTTTTTCCGGCTTTTAGAAAAGCCGGAAAAGAGCGTCTACACTGGCCCCGATCCTCCGGAAAAAAGCCCTTTTCCGGAGGATCTCTTATTACTTTGAAGTAGGAATAAGAGATCCTCCGGAAAAGGGCTTTTTTCCGGAGGATCGGGGCCAGTGTAGACGCTCTTTTCCGGCTTTTCTAAAAGCCGGAAAAAAGCGGCGGACATTTTTATTTAAATGCCGCGGGGGATATTTAAATCCCCCGCGGATTTCCCTATTATGACCTGTCA